CTTGACTCAAAATGTCCACTTGGTCTTGTAGTAGATCTACCCGCTGGTTTAGAAGCACAATGCCACGATGTAGATGTTGATTCATCATAGTCTGAGTCTCCATGGCTGTTGCAGCAGTACCCGCAAGCTTGTTCACAGCATCAGCAGTAAGCACAGCAGTGGCCGCCGCAACAGCAGAAGCTGCAACGGCTGCCACAATGGCTGCAGTTATACCAAAGTCTCTTTTGTTTCTTTGCAATAATACAGGCAGATTAGTAGGAGGGCACACGTACTACCACAACAGAGTCCTCCAAAGAAGCATTCCAGCATTGTATAAGTACTACGGGGCAACAATGCTGGTTGTTGAGGAATAGAAGTATTGGCTCTCAATACCTTAGCAGGAAAAACACCCTTGATTACAGTAGCATTACCATTTGAGTCCCGGTAACCATCACTATCAAACCAGCCCGAAGACTGATTGGTTCACATAATACAAGGTATGAAATCAGAGTAATCAACATGTACAGAGAAACACAATGTGTCACAACGAAACAATAGAAAAGTTATCAATAGCTGCTACAGTATCCATAGGCAAGGTCGACCAATCCATGGTGGCAGAGCCATCAATAGTGAAGAAAAATGGAAGTACACCAGCCTGAGAAGTAACGGGCAATGGACATGGCCACGTCTCCACCACCGCCCAGAGAAGTCGTTCTGCAGTCCAGACGACCTCATGTCCGATCACCATCAGGAGAAGCATCAAGCACCTCATCTTGTTCATCTTCATTCTTCCTTCCTGACGGGGCCTGAAGAACTTTCCGCACGAGGCGCTCTGGCACCCACAACGGTTCCGTTCGGTCCGGTGCACCACCCTGACTGCTGAAAGTTCTGGATCCTGGGTTCGAGGAATATTCTTCCACGCTGGAGCCACCAACTGTCGTGACCCCTCGCCAGTAAGGGAAACACACAGGATTCTTCTTTCAGCAGTTTACTCAGGATCTTTGAATCATGACGAGAAAACAGGAACAAGAGAGCGAGCGGTCGGTCTGCCGTAGCTTAAGTACCCAGCCTCGCCAATGAACTAGCACCACATGGAGGAGTCTAGTAGGTACAGCGCAGCGGAAGCAGGCCAGAACCCAGCCCACAGCCTTACAAGGAGTTGTTTACTTCTAACAACTCTAACCGCTAAGTCATCAGAAGCAGGAAGCCAGCGCCATTTTCAGGGTGCGGTCGCCGGCTCCCAACAAGTTAGGGTTTAAAGGAATAGAGGGGAAAAAAAGAAATATTTAAGTCCCTTTTCATGTTTGAATTTTGTGGGTTTTTTTATAGTTTCCTATTGGAAAACCCTTTGTAGTAAGCCCTTTTCAAGTTAAAGCTCAAAATCCTTAGCTTTACGTTTAAGACCTTCCATAGTTTGATCCCAAGTCTTTGCACTATTGTCACCCTCCTGTGTAATTCTTTTTCCCTTTACCCCTCTCTGTTACTAAGTCACTAAGACCTCTTGTATCTCTTTATTACTACCTCTTGACTCTTCTTCTTCTTTTTTAAAATATTTTTTAGTTGTCAATGGACCTTTATTTTATTTATAAATATTCAGTGCTGAGAATTGAACCCAGTGCCTCACACATGCTAGGCAAGCGCTCTACCACTGAGCCACCACCCCAACCCCTCCTCTTTTTTTTTTTTTTTTAAAACAGTGCAAGGGATAGAATGCGGCTTATGTGTGTTAGATAAACGCTCTACCACTGGGCTGCACCCTAGCCACTTAAATTTTTAAACCCTTTATTTATTTATTTTTTGTAGTTGTAGATGGACAGCATGCCTTTATTTTATTTGTTTATTTTTATGAGGTGCTGAGGATTGGACCCAGTGCCTCACACGGGCAAGCAAGCTCTCTGCCACTGAGCCCCAGCCCCAGCCCTTAAACCTTTTATTTTGAGAAAACTTTTAACAGAAAAGTTGTAGAAGTAGTACAAAGAGTTCCAACGTGCTTTTCATCCAACTTCCTCCAATGTTAACATAACTGTAGTGCAATTAACAGAATTGAGAAATTTATCATTCTTCCATCATCTCTCACAGATGGTGGCAATAGCTTGAAAAGTCTTTGCCTCTAGTCTTGGCTTCATTTACTTCCTATGTTGTAGCAAGAGTGATTTATGAAAAAAATATATATGGTTAAACTTTTTATGCCTTCCTATAGCTGTTAAGATGAAGACTAACTTTTTTGACATACTTACAAGGTCATTTATGTTCTGGTTGTAGGTAGTTAAACTATCAAAACCTTAAAATCAAAAACCTACTTATCTTTCCTATTTCAGTGTCAGTGCAGTAAAACTTAAAAGACTTCACTGATTATGACTCCTATGTTTTCTCAATATGTTTCTTCACTGAATTTATATAATATCTAGTACTTTTCTCTCAAAATTATATTTATTATTCTTGTTGTAACAGTATAACTAGCAAGGTACCTGGCACACAGTTGGTATTGTAGGCACATAAAAAATATCTGTAGAAAGCATGAATTGTTTACCGTAGGCAGATTTATTTATTGTGTCTTAAATGTATCTGACATATTTCACCTTATTTAAAAATCACGTTACCTTGCACCTTATACTGTTATCCTTTTTTTCACATCCTATAGATCTAAACCTGGTTCCCACCTCCTTTGTAAAGAATTCTTTGGTCACATTTGCCTGCCTTAACTATTCTTTCCTATGATTCTTGTAACATTTAATATATTTATTACTCACTTAGCACATATGTGCTGTCCTGTCAGTTAGCTCTTTTATGTACATATCTTATCTCTTCAACTCTGTATGTCAGTAGACAAGTGCTTACTTCAGTTCCTTCTTCCTTTTCTTTCATATTTACTTAGCTTTTAGTGCAGAAGACCATGCAGGTGAATTTGGGGTTTACAAAATATATATGACAAGGTCCTTGACATAAGTGAATTTATATTCAAGTAGAAGTTGAGAAAAAAGAAAACTGGCTTTTGTGTGAGCACCTCTTATGAATCAGAAATTATGAGCAATTCACACACTGTGTATCTTATTGAACAGATATCAAGGACCTTGTGCAAGGGTATGAGTAAATGAAAAGCTACATAAAGTGCTGTTGGATTTCATTTACTCAGCAAATATTTATTGAAGGTGTTCTGTGTGCTGGGTGCAATGATGAGTTCTAAGAATAGTCTTAGTTTTCACTGAACTTACAGTTTTGCAGGGGATGCAGAAAATAAATAGGCAGTTATAGTATGGTATGATCAATTCCACAGGGGTTGGGAATCAACTGTTAAGTACTTGCCTTCATGTGGCTCTTAATCTAGGAGTGAGAGATGAATAAGCATACAGTGTACTATCCAGTACATTATATGAGGTGATGGAATGAAAGACATGGTACTTGGAAGATAAGAGACAGGGAACCTAACAGACTTGGGAGGAAATTTTATCTAGAGTGAGATCAGAAGGAAGAAGCAAAATGTCCAGGGTTAGAAGAAGCATGGCAAATTTCAAGTTTTCTGTGGCTGGATCATAGGACTGGGTCAGAGTAGTTAGGAATGAAACCAGGGTGTTAAACAGGGCCCTGATCATACCCAGGGCTTTCTAAGGCATTTTATCATACCAAATCTAATTTAAACTCATAATCTATGGTAGAGTAAGCTTAGATATCTGGTTCAGGTTTCTACTCTGTTTTAGTATATAACCTTGTCCTGTTTCAGTATGTTTTTCTTTAGGGTGAGAATTGTTAATTATTTCCAAAAATGGGAGTAAAACAATATTTTTTTAAAAAAAGTATCCCACATAAACAAAAACCCCTATTCTCTGTTTATTAGTAATTACTTTCTGTGGCTGTTAAACCATATTTCCCAAGATGGTTCTTTCAGGACACCTTGAAATAAAAATGTGTGTCCCAGTGGAGGACTCTTGTGGTATTGTAACAGGGTGTGGTATATAGTGTGTGTTTCAAGTTTCAAAGATGACTACTGAAGTGAGTTAAAGGGGTAGGTTGGGAATGGATTGTGGGAAGGCAAGTGGCTTTTTGGCTTAATTATTCTTGAAGAGATCAGGGCTGTGGAGTTTCTAAAACGTTGTGACAGTATTGGGATCCCTGTCTGTATTTGCTAACTTGCAATGTATGTGTTAAGCTTGCATATAATGAATTATCATGTTTTCTGTTTGTAGAAAGAAATTCAAGCTATGAGTCAGTGCCATCATCCTAATATTGTGTCTTACTACACATCTTTTGTGGTAAAAGATGAGCTGTGGCTAGTCATGAAGCTGCTAAGTGGAGGTGAGTGGTGTGCAGTAAAATGTTCTGTTCCACAGGTTGAAAAGTTTAAAATTTCCTTCTTTTTATCCTGATTTGATTTCATGGACATTTGTATTTGGGGAGATACCAAAAATGTATTATCTGTTAAAGAGGCTAGTGTATAAGCTGAGACAGATTTCACACATTGCATTGGGTTGTTATGCCTCTTAAATCTTTCTTAATTTAGGATGATTCCCTTCCCCTTCCTGCCTTCCATGCCATAAGCTTATTGAAGAGTCTTGATTCAGTTATTTTGTGGAAGGTTTCACATTCTGGATTTATTTGATTTTTCTTCTTGTTGATGTTTAATTTGATCTAGATTTCTCTATTTTTTGAAAATTAGCTGTAAATACTTTATTAAATTCAAGTTAAATATTTTGGGGCAGAATACTTTGTAGGTGATGCTGGACACTTCGTATTACATCAGGTCAGAAAGTGTTTGCTGTCTGGTTGTATCTTTAATAGTGATTTTAATTTTGTTTGCTTAAGATTATGATAGCCAGACCTCTCCATGGGAAAGTTAACTTTTTTTTCCCTTTGTATCCAGCAAGTAATCTCTGAAATGATACTCTGGCACTGTGTGAATATCTAGCCCCCATGTCTTTTAAAATGACTTTACCATCCATTAATAATCCTTGTTTGCATCAGTTAGTTCATCAAGGATTTTAAAATGTGATTTCTCTTATTGTATCATTTCTTTCGCATTTATAAATTGTCATTCTTTTGTGAAGAGGAACTTTGCCTTACCAACTGATGCCCTGTACTTAATCTGTACTGTAGTTTAACTGAAAAAGGCAGGTTTTATAAACCAATTTTCAGAGTAAAAAGTTGCTTAAAAATTACCTCCAACAGTAGCAAATGAGAGGGTTTTTTTTCCTCCTTCTTTTTTCTAGTTGTGTTGGGCCTTCACTTTTTTGCATATCATTGACTCAAGTTTTTTTGTATGTTGGCAGTGTATCAGTCAGTTGTACTTGGTTCTCTTTGCTGCTTTGGTTGTCCAGATTTTGTTAGTGAAAATCCTTTAAGATACCTCTTGTATTCTTTTGACATGAGCCCACTGATCTTTGATTACATCCTTTCTTTTTGATTGAACGTTTCTTAGGTTGACATATTTTTTTTTCCAGACCCAGAATCATTTAATACTCTAAGCAGCTCTGTTATTTTTTTCTAGGGAATGATATTTAGAAAGCATAACTTAGGTACTTGGTATGCTCATTGCTCCTGCCTTGTTGGTGCTCCTAAAATTTGGAAATATAATATACATTATAAATAATAATTTGACATTCATATTTCTAATTCAAAGTTTAATATTGTAGACTTACAAAACTTCTGTAATACTATGCTCGAATCTCTTTCCTCTTACAAAAAGATCTTGGTCCACAATATTAACATAATTACATGTGCGCTGTATCCTGCAGACAGACACATACATACAACACACACATGCTATTATTTCTACTTTATCCTTACAATAAAATATAAATATTGCTAATTGCAAAGAAAGGACTTGGGCATGAATAGATTGAAAATTTTGTTATTGTTACCTGAAGGTCCATGCCACATGATAAATTAGTCTTTTTGCCAGGCCTGGATTTGAGTTATGTGGCAACATTGGTAGGACTCAGGAATGCTGACCTGGAGCCACTCCAGGCTTCTCATTTCTGCCTGTTGGTTTTGTGTGCCTATGTATTTTGTGAGGGAATATGATTTTTCATTTTAGAATGCAGAGTTACAGAAAAAAAATCCATATTTGTTTAGTTTGTAATTTTAATACTGTCCCTCACTGAACATTGTACTTCTCCAGAGAAGCTCCAAAGGTTAAAAAGATAGGCTTTAGAATAAGTTCCGCCTTTCCAGCTTAGCAATTGTATGTCATTGGGAAAACTGTTTCAACCTTTTAAACCTTTTTTGATTTTTGTAAACATGGCTGTTAAATGAGGATACCTTCCTGCATTTCAGTATATTGGTGAGGAGTAAATAAGATGATAAATGTAAAGCATCTACTATTGTGCTGACATGTAAGAGTTGCACAAGAAATTTTTATTCCTAAGTAGTAATGTTCCCTTGCTATATTTTGATGCTTTTCAGTGTAGCCAGAATCACCTTTTTGTTTCAATCCCATTAGTGACACACTGGAGAAACTGGATTGCTTTGTTAAAGGCCCTGTTCATATGATGGTTGGAAGCCTTGCTAACACCAACCACCTTTCAAGATGGTGGTCAAGCATGGTTCTTTCTGTATGGACAGATATGGGAACATTAGGTAATACTGTATCTTTCCTTATTGATCACCTATGGTATAATTTATTTGTAATTTAGAAAAATGTATAATACAGAGTTTTTAATGTTTTGCAGAAAAATTCTCTGATATAGGAATAAATTGTATACATAATTCTGTCTTCTGTATGCTAGCCCATCTTTTCTGCTACTTCTAAGCAGAAAGACTCTTCTTCTTCTTCTTCTTTTTTTTAAAGATCCCTATTCCAGGCTGGGGTTGTGGCTCAGCGGTAGAGCGCTCGTCTTGCACGTGCGAGGCCCTGGGTTCCATCCTCAGCACCACATAAAAATAAATAAGTAAAATAAAGGTATTATGGCCAACTATAACTAAAAAAAAAAAAAGATTCCTATTCTTTTGTTAATGAGTATATGTTCTGATCACAGAAGGGGTGGACATGTAGATGGGTGAAATGCCTTTTAAAAATAGCTCCTTGTCCCTTCTGGTCTTTCATTTCCTTGGGTAGTGTCTAGTTTTTCCATCCTTATAGTCAGAAATTTCCTGAAGGATAATTTTCAATCATGTTCCAGTCAGAACTCATAATATTTACATGTTTAAGAACCAACGTAATCTTTACATCTAAACTTCTTAAATATTAAAATTTTTGCATTTTTTTGGAAAATGAAATCTTTTGTTAGTATTAAGTGAATAAACATTTAAACAGAAGAGATACATTAAGCAGTATTTAGGGAAACAAAAAGCTAGAACCAAGTACATCTTAAAATTTTTTTAAGTAGAGGAAATTACATGAGGGTTTATAGTGCAGCTAATACACTATTCATTTCCGCTGTCATGTATTTAAAAAATAAAACCAATTAAAAAAAACACTATTCATCAATACTTATTGAACACCACTACTTTGGTAAATACAATAGATAGTTCCTTGCTCTCCATGTAATTACAAGTGTGTAGAGTGCCATGAAGAAGTACCAAGTGCCATGGGAATACGTTACAGGAGAGCCTAACCTTATTGAGGGGTAATGGATGCACTAGGATTAACAGATTTCCCTTAAGAGGTGACATCCAGCTGAGACTTAGAAGAATAAGCAATAATTAGCCAGGTGAAATGAGGGATGGAGGTAGTATAAGGGGAAGGATGAGAGAAGCGATCCAGATAGAGGACACTCTACAAAGGAGGGATGGAATAAAGATAGAGGAGTGTGGAGTGTCTCAAGAATCTGGGTATCTGGGTGCCACAGCCACAGGAAGATTTGGGAAGACCTTTGGGGGAGGCTATGACAATCTCTTTGAATAATTTAAAAAATATGCAAATATGAATATAATATCTTCTTTTATATCAGCTTCTTTAGCCACAGTATTTAAAACAAAAGTATATTTTTGATTTAGCAACATTGTACTAATGTAGAATTTAATAAACTAAATCATAAAATAAATAGTAACTGACACTCTTAAATCATCAACTGGGTGAACATCATGGTTAAATAAGTTAGCTGGATGTGGTGGCACATTGCCTGTAATCTTAGTTACTTGGGAGGATGAGGCAGGAGATTCATAAGTTTGAGTCCAAACTTGGCAACTTAGTCAACCCTCAAAATGAAATATAAAAGGGCAATGTAGCTTCAGTGGTAGAATACCCCTGGATTCAATCCACAATAGCACAAAAACAAAACAAAAAGTTTCATTAAATGTCAGTACTGCAATTATTTCATAATGCTTTCTTATAACAGTAATATTCTTATATTTTGCTAGTTAAAACCCTGATGTTGAATGTTGGGATTTGTTAGTACTCTAATGAATCTTTAGAAATTAGAAGCATGTTTTGTTTGAATAGCTGTTCATACAATTTATAAGTACCAAACTGTCATGTGAGATTTTTTTTAGAAACCCAGATAATTAAGAAAACTTATGAGAAGAAGAGAAAGAAGTATCTGTAGTATGTAGAGATGAAGAAATCTAATTTAAATGAACTGCCCTAGAGAGTGAGGTATTTTGTTATTTAGGAATCCCACCAACTTTGTCATTTTCGAAGAGATAAAAAGTGTGAGTACTTCCTTGATCTACACAGAACCCAGGTCCGGTACCAGATATTTATAGATTAGTTTTGAAGGTTCAGTCAACAGTGGAAGGTTTTAAACTTTTGCACCTTCTAGGGGCCTGAAATGGAATAATTAACCAAGCCAATTTTGGCCCCTTTGAAACCCAGCCTAAAGATTGATTAAAACTTCATAGTAGAGACACTTTTAACTAAATCAAATGAGTTGATTTAAAAAAAATTTTTTTTGTAGGTGTAGATGGAAAGAATGCCTTTATTTGTTTATTTTTACATGGTGCTAAGGATGGAACCCACTGCCTCACACATGCTGGGCAAGCACTCTGCCCCTGAGCTACAGCCTCAGTCCAAATGAGTTAATTTTGTATTTGAAGAATGTCTTTTTTTTTTTTTTTTTTAAAACAAACTTCCCTTTATTAGGTAATGAAACTGGGGTACTCCTTCCCAGCCATTTTAGTTTTTTGAATTTTGAGACAAGGTCTTGCTAAGTTTCCCAGGCTGCCCTTAAAATTTGCAGTCCTCTTCCCTCAGACTCCCAGGCAGCTGGGATTACAGACTTGTGCCTGTTTGCCTGGCAGAGTGCCTTTTCATAAAAGTAAATGAGGAAATTAATGTGTTGACTGAGTAATTAATTTGAGTTGTAATTGTCAGTTTAATAGGAATCTTAAGCCAGCCAGTACTTCACTACTTTGTCAATATTATTTTATCTTAATGATTTTTTGGGACAGTTAAAGCTTTTGCAGTTTTTTTTGGGTGGAGGTGGGGGGGTAGAGTGTTGGGAATTGAACCTAGGGGCCCTTTACCACTCATCCACATCCCTAACCCTTTTTATTTTTTGAGACAGGATCTAGCCTATCTAGTCACTGAGATCACAAGTGTGTGCCACCACACCTAGCATCGCATTGTTTTTTAAATGTTCTGTGCCACAGGCTGTGAAGACATAGAATATAATTTTGGAGGCGGGGGGATAGATCTGTGTTTTAACTTTTTGCTTTATGTTATAGAATTTTTACTAAATCCCCTTAGTTTTCCATGTGATTTATTTGCCTTTATTTTGAAAAATGCTTAAATTTTAGTGGTGGACAGCTTTTATCAAAGTAGCATAGGTTGTTAAAATGTCTGAAAAAGCACTTCTTGGGCTCAGATAACTTGAATGACTGTCTTTAGGGTCTGCATCTTTTACTTACTTGCCAAGTAATTCCTTCATATGTTAGAGTTCAAGATCTGATTATCCTAGCAGAGTATTTGTTTTTCCAGATTATGCTTGAGAACACAATATTGTCTACACTATTATAACTTTCCCAGTTGTTTCTACTTTTTTTTAAAAAAAAGATATTAATAAAGTCACCAGTGATAATCTGTAGTTTCCTTTTGCTTTAGCATGCTTTACCTTCAACTTTCTCTTAGTTAACATTTAAATTATATGATTTTGATATTTGAGGAGCAAGTATTGCAAGCACCATCATTGAGTTTGGTGCTTTGTAGCATCTTGTGATGCCAGGAAAATCAAACAGATAAGAAGGGTTGGGGGGACTCTAGAAATAATACCTGTCAATTAAGGATGAAGATTTGCCACTTATAAAAATTATTGTTGGAAGGAGACTAAAATGGAAAAGAAATAGTTATACCAAGGAAGGGAGAGTTTTGTCTATTCCTTGTTCAGATGCCTGATTTGGACTTACACTGGGATGTGCATTACTCTTAATTTTGATTGTTGGATGATGTGAAATTAATGTGAAAATTTAAAATTTTGAAAAGGAGCTCTTCCTTCACACTCTTCCAAAATATAGAACTAATAATTTTTTTACACATTTAAAACAATGTTTATTGAATATCTCATTTTTTAAACAAATATTTATTTATTTTTTAGTTATAGGTGGACACGATATCTTTATTTTACTTTTATGTAGTGCTGAGGATCGAACCCAGAGCCTCATGCATGCTAGGCGAGTGTTCTACCTCTGAGCCACAACCCCAGCCCCTGAATATCTCATTTTTCATTTGGGAGATGCTAGAAGGGCCTGAGGCCCTTCAGCCAGGCTTATTCTGGAGGCAGAAGAAAATGGGGCCCAAACCTGGACCCAGAAAATTCTCTTAAATATATGTTCTTGGCCCAGGCCAAGAACAAGATACTGCTGATTCCTTTCAGAAGTACGTGAGGCTTCAAATCTGCTCAATTAAGATACAAATTCTGCTTCACTTCTCACTAGTGTCAACATGGTCAGGTTAGGCCTTACTTCTCATTTTCAGTATCCATGTCGTACTACACAGGTGCCACATACTAGCCTAGTAGCCACAGAAGGGATTTCAGCTCTGGCATCCTGGGATCATTGCTGCTGAAACACCAAGGAACAGCAGATAGCCTTCTGCTACATGCTGGGCCAGGAACCCAGGAAGTGGTAGTTGTCAGGAACTGGAAAGTCTAAGATGCTCTTCCTTGCAGCTAACAAGGTAGTGTGCCAGTTTTATGATGCCAGTAGAAAACATAAAAACTCCCAGGACATCTTCCTGAAGAGCTGCTGTGGCTGTAAACCCTTCTCCTACTTTGTGGGATCATCCTGCCTTTTGTGTCTTCTTGCTAAGCAGTAAATACTACTTTTATGTGGGTTGAAAGTCTCAGAAGAATGAAACATGGCCCATTGGTGTAATCATTTTGCTTTAGGGATCAATGTGTGATTGATAAAACTAAACTGAACCAAGTTTCTCCCTTAGGCCTCCCTGCTTCCATATCACAAACATGTGAATCTCAGCAATAAGAGGGGAAAGAACTAGTTTGATAATATGCTAGGAAGTGCTGTCTGAGCTGGTGCAACAGTGCACATCTGTAATCTCAGTGACTCAGGGGACTGAGGCAGGAGGGATTGCAAGTTCAAGGTCAGCTTTAGCAATTTAGGGAGGCTCTAAGTAACTTAGTGAGACCCTGTCTCAAAAGAACAGTAAAAAGGACTGGGGATATGGCTCAGTGGTAAAGTGCCTCTGAGTTCAATCCCTGGTACCAATAAAACAAGAAAGGGAAACACTGTCTAGAATGTGGAGCCTCTGTGGTTCATCATCTTGAGAAAATAAACTAACTGAGGCTTTCATAGGGGAGGAAAGATACAAGAACCTTACTCTTTTTCATCTGAATTTTCAACCAGTTTTAGGACTCAGGATATAGCTCAGTGGTATAGTGCTTGCCTAGCACATTTGAGGCTTTGGGTTTGATACCCAGTACTGTGAAGAAAACCAAAGATAAAAATAGTTTTCTCGTTTTCAGTCCTCTCCTTCACTGCCCTCTCACTTCTTATGTGGTATTTGTGTATAGTTCTGGCCTTTTTGGAGCCAGAACTGCAGAAGGATCACTTTTTCTTAAATGTATACCTCCTCTGCAGGCATTGAAAGTAAAATTTTTTCACTTTGTTTAGTCAGTTACTTTTTATATTTCTGCTTTCTTCTATAATATTGTTGCCATTTCCCCCCCTCCTGCCACACAACCTTATTAAAAAATCTCTTTCCTGTTCTCTTCGTTCATCCTGGATTTATGCCCCCTCCTTTTAAAAATAAACTTTATCAAGTTATTGTATTTTAAGTGGGAGCTAGAGTGAATTTAAATTCAGTCCTTCATGAGTTCTGGGAATTGCGCTCAGGGTGTGCTACCTACCACTGAGTTATACCCCCAGCCCCAAATCCTTTGTGTTTTTGAGGATCTTACCTAGACCATTTCTTTCCATGTATTTGGAATTAGTATTGTTTTCTTTTTAAGTGAATGAAATAAAACCATCCAATAGGGTATGTTTTCAGCAGGGTTGAGTAAGTGATTTTTAGTCTTGATCATTGAGGTTTTGTACCAAAAAATGGATATTGAATCTTTCTAGTATAGTCTATCTTCTGTTTCAGACTTCTTGACATAGTTTCTAATAGTGAGGATTGTTTTGTTTTAGTTCTATGATCTTTATAGGTCAGTATATTCCAGACACCTTAGGAACCAAATCTCTGGCATGCCTTTTTAAAAATAATTATTATTATCAGTTTTTGTAGTCAACATTCTGTGATTTTAATTACTGTTTTTTCCTCTCTCTCTTCTCGTTCTTTAATAGAAACATTATTTCCTATCCTGGGAAGAATAGGATTGATAAGACATCTGGGGTATTATTTAAAGAGAACTTCCATTGTTATTCATGTTTGTCTTTACCTATTTTATTTCTATAATTTATTAACCAGAAAACTTAAGTGTTTAAGTTACTTTGTATACAAATCTGATCCTCATTTTCTAACTTCCCTGTTTTAACTCTATTTCAGTTGTGTTTTTCTCTCTCCTTTTTCTCTCTGTCTCTGTTTCTTACAGTGTTGGAGATCAATATCTTTAGTCATACAACACTGCTTACTCTAATCTGGTATTGGAGGTCTGTATTAGTTTGTGATATCTTAGATTTGAATAGTACTGATGGGCATGGTTCACTTAGGAAGTATACAGATGTGGTTAAAATTCTTTCCCTACTTCTTCCAAATTCTCATTAGAGGTCTAAAGGAGATGCTGGTCTAACATACTGTTTGGATGATAGCAATTTACTTTGTGTTTTAGATTGGAATTGGGAATAAATGATTACTTTTAAATGTCTGTTTCCTAATGTTCACTCTTTTTTCCTTTCTTACATAATTAATTTTATGAAAAGGTTTAAATGTGTTTTGATTCCAGAATGGATCTGAATTATACTGAACAAGTTAAAAATTTTTCATGAACTGTGTTTTCTGTTTTCAGGTTCTGTTTTGGATATTATTAAGCACATTGTGGCAAAGGGGGAACACAAAAGTGGAGTCCTGGATGAACCTACCATTGCTACGATCCTTCGAGAAGTATTAGAAGGGTTGGAATACCTGCATAAAAATGGGCAGATTCACAGGTATATAAAAGATGATACTTCAATCTTTTGTATAGATAGCAGTGCTGAATCATGTTATTGAGGCCAGTCTCATTCTTCTACAGAATTACTCATAGCTCTAGTTGTTGTCAAGGCACTTTGTATCAATAGTTTCAGTACATTGTGGTTAGACCTTTAATTATACATCTGGTGAGTATTAAAAAAGTTATAAGTACTTCAATAAAATCAGAAAACATAAAATTAGCAATTTTTTACTGAGAGGCAGTTACTAATAACATTTGGAACATTGTTTTCCATTTTCTTTCATGTGCTTTAAAAGTATCTAAGATAATGATGTGTATATAATTTTGTCTGTTATTTGTTTTGTTTTCTATTTCCAGTATTTTCCCAAATTATGAAAAGTTCTTTGTAAAATAGCACTGTTTTTATTAAAACTTTTTTTCCCTTTCTTTTCAAATAGATAACATAACCTGGTTCTGATACTGCTAAATGAATAGTGATAGCTAAGTGAATAGTGATAGATTCTGGGTACAGGAGTCTTTGAGCACTTTCCCAGGCCCATTATGTGGATTACCATATTGTGCAGGTGGAGTTCTCATTCAATCCTATGGGAATTGGAAGTCTTTTTCCTTAGGCCACTTTTTGGTGCTCTTTGGAGTGTTTGGACACTCTGGGCCTACTGTTGTCCTTTGCTATTTGACAAAAGGCTGGTAGATACTAGGCCTGGTTTGACCTCTGCTCTTGAATTGGAGGGCTGTGAGATGCCAGCTGTGCTACTGATGGTGGTATGGGCCTACCTGCTGCCCTTGGGATAGGGCAGGATGTAAAGTTTTCTGAGTTGGTCTTCATTGGTGACTCTGGTTCTGGAATAGTGGGCTCTCTTACAACTGTGGAGTCCAGGGTGAGGCCTCCTGTTAGTACTTTGCCAGGCTGCCCCTTCACTGCTTCTCTGATCAGAGAAAGCATGCTTGAGCCTTTTTTTGACTTATGCTTGTAGTTCTTAGTTTCAGGGTCCTCAAGTGCCCAGTCTAGGATGTAGAAGATTAAAAGAAAGCTTAGGAAACTTAATGACCTGTTGCTTTTCATGTCCTAAGGCCCTTAAACACTCTGCTCTTCTCTTTTCACTTTTCAGAGTTCTTTTGTGATTGTTGAATTATGTCTGGGAATTTTAGTTGTATTTAAAGAGAAGGAGCAGGGGAAAGTAAATTTATATAATTAAAATTTTTTTTATTTACCTGAATTAATTACACATGACAACAGAATGCACTACAGTTCATTGTACATAAATGGAGCACAGTTTTTCATTTTTCTGGTTATACACGAAGTAGAGTCACACCATTAGTGTAGTCATACATGTGACTAGGGTAATGATGTCCCATCTCATTCCACCATGGTTTCTATCCTCATGCTTCCTCCCTACCCCTCTGCCCAATCCAGAATTCCTCCATTCATCCCATGCCCCTCCCCGCATTATGTATCGGCATCCACTTACCAGAGAAAACATTAAGCCTTTGGTTTTTTGGGATTGGTTTACTTCCCTTAGTATGACATTCTCCAACTCCATCCATTTACCTGCAAATGCCATAATTTTATTCTCTTTTAATGTTGAGTAATATTCTGTTGTGTAAAATTTATATAATTTTTGAGGGGGTTGGAATAAATCCCTAGATTTGGGATGGCACCATTTTAATCTATTTCATTCCTGAGTTAAGATTCTGAGTGTAATATGACAGGTTTTTACATGTTATATGGGCCCATTCTCTGAATATTTTCTATTTATATTGTTATCAACATTGTAATAAACATCTTCCTCTGTGGTTTTTATTTTTTTAAAATCTAACTTTCTATAAAGAGTCAAGGAGTCAAAGGGAAAACATTTTATAAAAAAAAAATTGCCACATCTTTTCAGAAATGTACAGATTTATGCCCCTGTTAGCAGGTTATGTAAACGGTAGAATTCATTGGACCTGTTCTAGCCTTGCCCATTAAAATTTCAGTTTGCTAATTTTGATGAAGGAAGAATGGTATTAACTTTAATATTCTGGATTATTAGTGAATTTAAATATCAATTTGTATGGAATAATTGGTATTTCCTCTTGTGAAATGTTTGCTTCTGACTTTTGCCTGTTTTTCTTTGGGATTTCACTGCTACTTTGATTATTCTGAATTTTTTTATGTGTTCAGAATGGCCTTTTTTTCAGTTTTTGTCTTATTAGTTTGGCTAAAGGATATGCTGTTTGGGTCTTGGTCAACTTGTAGAATATAGGGGCAAGAGGGAATGAGGTTGTCCGATTATGATTAAAATCTGGAAAATAGGATGGGCTGATGGAAAGTCAAGATGGGTTGGTTGATTGGAGATGTACTTACTTCCATACATACACATCATTGAAGTCAAAGAATAGTCATAGTGGAGTGATTGAATGGTTTCCTAGAAAAATAGGAGGTTATGGTTAGAGAGTAGTAATTTTGTACATGACTGCATTTTGATGAAAACAAGATAAAAAACTGAGGAAGGAGATGACTAAGGGGTGGTGGAAGAGGAGGTCTGTAGAGGTGGCATTAGTGAACTGAGAAGGAGTGCATTGCATGATCATCTCTGTGATGGTTGAAGTTTCTTAGAATAATGGCAAGATCATTTGGGCTTAAATAAACAACTGGGAAACTGAATGATGGCAGCAATAAAGACGGTGGATGGCAATGCCTGAAGGGAATTTTTCTTTTTTGTTTTTTTAAAAAATTATTTTTAGTTGTAGATGGACACAATACCTTTATTTTATTTATTTATTTTTATGTGGTGCTGAAGATTCAACCTGGCCTTACACATGCCAGGCAAGGTCTCTACCACTGAGCCACCACCCCATTCTGGGAATTTTTCTTTTAACTGAATGTTTAATACATTTGTGGGATTCAAAGGAACCGAGAAAGGATTAGAATTCTATAATATATAATAGACATTTATGTAAAAGATATTGCCTTTTTTTCCCCCAAGAAGTTTTCCCCTATTTCCTTATCATTTCTGTCTTCCTCAGAGCAAAGAATAGTAATTACTACTTTCATGGATAAGCTGCTCCATTGTGTTGGACAGTAATTATATCTTTATGTTTCACATCATCATTTGTACTATTTCACAGTGAAATTGAACTCCACTCAAAGTAGAGCCTAAAGAAATTAGAACAAATAGTTATCAAATTCATATGAATGAATGCTAAAGGCCTAAGGATTTTTAAGCGCTGGTTTAGTAATAAAATGTCTGCTGGCACAAACCTTATATTTACTCATATTATTAAAACTACAACAATAGAAATGATAGCCATTTTAAGGAAAAAAGAACTCCGGGACAAGGTCATTAAGTAAAATACATTTTAAATATAAATACCATGTATTTCCTGATTAGTGTCAAGTAAATATCTTAATTATCCTGAGTTTATGTCTCAGAGGAAAAAAATCAGAAATAGTTACAAAGAAAGTGCTTTACTTTATATTATCAGATTCATTTTCAAAATAATTGAGATCAAAAAAAATAATAATAATTGAGATCCATTGGAAAAATTGTTTTAGTTTTTCTTTTTATCAAAGATGTATTGGTCATTTTTTTGGTAATCCATTTATGTCTGCATTCTTTGTCTACTTTGCCTTCATTTTTATGATTGGATTCTTTTTAAAAAAATATTAATTTTTTAGTTATAGTTGGACACAATATCTTTATTTATTTATTTTTATGTAGTGTTGGGGATCAAACCCAGGGCCTCGCCTGTGCTAGGCGAATGCTCTACCGCTGAGCCACAACCCCAGCCCGATTGGATTCTTTTTTAAAAAATATTTTTAAAATTGTGGATGAATCTTTATTTTATTTATTAATTTATTTATAGGTGGTGCTGAGAATTGAACCTAGTGCCTCAGACATGCTAGGCAAGCACTCTACCGCTGAGCTCAGCTACGTACAAACCTAGCCCTATGGTTGGATTTTCTAGTCTGTATATGACTAACAAAGGGGAAATTGGAGGGTATATGTATTGCTCCACTAAATTTTTATAGATCTAGAGCAGAATCGGAGTGATGATGTAGAGTATACACTATTATCTCAGGCTTGAACTTCTAAACTGGAGAGTGAGGCTGGCTACAAAGCATGGAGGAAGCCAGAAAAGCAAACCATGTATGGCTAGGTCTCCATGACCATGACCTTGTGGGACCCTGCTGAACAATGGGAAAGTGCTGTGGTAGCTGGGAGGTTAGAACCTATCTCTACCTTGAACACCCAGTCTGCTGCCTGCCTGGGGCTACTCAGGCCCTGCCCACCCACATCCAGAGTCCAAATGGCAATCTGGTTGATATTATATTTATATAAAATAGAAGTATATATAAAATAAAAGGAAGGAAAAGCAAATTGAGGCTCTGATCTTTTTCCTCTCTATCTCTTGGATTGATAATTCTATCTTTAGGCTTAATGAGGTTTAATGATTCTTCTGCCATCTTGAACCTGCTGTTAAACTCTGCTGGTAGATTTTTCATTTCAGAAACCATACTCTTTTTTTTTTTTTTTTTTTTTTGATACTGGGGATTGAACTCAGGGGCATTTAACCACTGAGTCACATCCCCAGGTCTATTTTGTTTAGAGGCAAGGGTCTCACTGAGTTGCTTAGTGCTTCTATTTTGCTGAAGCTGGCTTTGAACACATGATCCTCCTGGCTTGGCCTCACGAGCTGCTGGGATTATAGGTATGTGCACCATACCTGGCTCAGTAATCATACTTTTTAATTCCAGAATTTCCTTTGGGCCTTTTTTATTGGTTACTGGGGATTGAACTCAGGCGCACTCAACCACTGAGCCACATCCCCAGCCCTATTTTGTATTTTATTTAGAGACAGGGTCTCACGGAGTTCCTTAGTGCCTCACTGTTACTGAGGCTGGCTTTGAACTCACTATCCTCCTGTCTCAGCCTCCAATGCCGCTGGGATTGCAGGTGTGCGCCACCGTGCCCAGCTCCTTTTGGTTCTATTTAAAATGTTTTTATATCAGCATTA